TGCCATGCAAGAGTGCTCACACCTAAGGCGAGGAGCTTTGCACACGTTAAATGTATATATATATATATATATTTATAACATAACCAAAGTAAAGCGCGCGCTCTGATTGGTCAATTTAGCGTCCCCCATTTGCCCATGGGTGTACGCTGCTGACGTGAGCAAATGCAAAGACTATTTTTCCGCGCGCGCTTGTTTTTTCTGGTCACGTAAGATTTGTTAAATAAAAGGGAACTCTTTAGCTACAATGTATCAATGTTATGTTATAAAACAAATGGTAAACACCACACCGTACACTATTGAGTTATGGATGCACTTGGGAGGTTTGCTAAGCACTCAAGAAGCTAGAGTCGCTCTCGGCTATCGCCTCGAGCGACTCTTACGCTTCTTTCGCGCTTAGTAACTTCCCGCGAGCATCCATAACTCAATAGTGTACGCTGTGGATTTTACCATTTGTTAATTGATATCATACTCTTTCTTGTACCATTTATTTTTGGTTCAATATTGTCTGAATAAGATCAAAATCTTTTATGATTTTGTCAATCTGATTTCTTCATATTTGAATACGTGTTTCATCGTTACTATTATAAATAACCTTTTCCACGTAGTATTTTCCTTGGTAGACTGATTTTCTTCGGACTTTATGCAGGTTTTCATGAAAATCAATCATGAACTTGTAAGGTTCGAAGTCTAAACCATGGACTAATCCACAATTAATACAAACAAATAAACCATTTTTCAAACTAATATTTCGATTCTTACAACATTTCTCTTCAACAGGTTCATTTGTTTTGATAACTTCATTGCAGCGGTGAGGACAATAGGTACCATTCCCCTTAGGATCGATCAGACGCGGCATAAATTATCACGACTTGTTCCMGGTCGTTCCTTGTTTCCTCAGCGGGTCGAATGTAAATTTTGATCCGGTTTACCATATTTAAAGAGAGTAAACTAATAACAGCCACTTCATCCCGACTTGTAAAATGTTTTCGTCCGCTAACCTATGCAAATAAGAAGTCAAAGATAGACTCACATATCGCTGTTCATTTCAGCGTTGTTTATTGCCATCATAATTAGTATAGAGGCCATGAACTAAACTGATCATTCTACAGCACAGATTCTTGTAATTATAAACGGAACACTTTCAATTATCAGAATTTTTCGCACATATCAGAAAAATACATCAAGTTCTCTTAGTTTGAATTTATCGCAACGTCACAATCTTGCTTGGGAACCATGTGATGATTCTTGAGCACGTGCTGTATTCAAGATGGCGGCGTTTTCCAATGTTCCAATCGTAGTGATGTGAACCCTAGTTCGAAACAGAATGCTTCCATATTTAAAACAACAGCAGTGAGAACCACACTGTAACTGATATTACCTTTTTTTTCATTTTCGTGTTTTATTTTTAGGATTACTATTTCCGTAATATCAAACGACAACAAAAGAACAACCTGAGTTTCACGAGTCAACATTTTACGAGTTTATTCCTTGCCATTTACTTAAGATGTTACTTTTCTTCAAGCTTAAACACTCGATAAAATTTCGGCCGACATGACTTAGGATTTCGGGCGACATGGCTATGAATTTCGGGCAACATGACTCTGGTTTCGGGCGACATGACTTCGGGCGAGATGACTTTCAGGCGACTTGACCGTAAACCGTTTTCGGGAATGTCAGACAACTCGCCCCAGTCTTTGGACGATTAGCCCCCAGTCTTAGTTAATATAAAGGAGAAGTTACGTTCATCTTTTGGTCGTTGACTTTTATGAGTTTGTGGCTCCTAAAGGAAGTTTTTTTTGTGAATGGTTATCTTTATCAAAATTTACTTAACTTTTACTTAATTTAATTTACATGGGTTGCACGAGGTGAGCACAGGCCTCCTGAAGATCTTTTGAGTTCCTTTGGCCGTCTTCATATTGAATCCAGAGGTCGAAGAGTCTTCACTGCATTGTTCGGTAGGTTGACCGCTGATGTCTCTTCAGCTTTTTGTCTGAAAGCAGACGGATCTGCATGTTGACCAATGTAGCTTCTCGGTGAAGTACCTGGATCAGGATGTACAGGGGCAGCTGTGATCAGTTGTCGCTGAATAAGCTAATACGAGTATCCACAATTGAAGGATCCCTTTTTATACACATCCCAAGGATTAAGATTTTGACTTCAGTTCGAACAAAACACGCCATTTGATTAGAGGAATCGTTAAGTTAAGAAAACAATGAGCACTGAATTGGGATAAATGAAATGTCCCACGTCAAATTTACATAAGTTAGCACATTACGCGTGGGTTTGAAATAAAGAATGAAATACCAATTAGTAAAAGTTCGGGCATTTTGCGTGGCTTTGAAATAAACAACTAGGAATAAAATTTCGCACCTTGCGCATGGGTTTGAAATAAGCAAACAAGAATGAGTAAACGTTCGCACATTGCGCATGGGTTTTCATTAAACAAATAAATAACCGTCTCCCAGTTAGCTCAATGAATAGAGCGCTGGACTGTTCTGCGGGAGGTCGAGGGTTCGAGCCCCGGCCGGACCAACACTCAAGGTCTTAAAATAATTGAGAAGAATATGCTTCCTTTCTATAACATCAAGAGATGGTTAGATAATCTAGTCTTCTCGGATAGGGAAATAAATGGAGGTCCCGTCTCCTGCAAGAGGGGTAGGAGAAGTTAATCGACGCCTGCGAAAAACGACGGAACTGCCTTTTGGGAAGATACACGACTGTCTGCGATATAATTTTGGTTTTATAAAC